ACCACTGTATGATTTGCTGAAAGAGTCTAAGAGTGTCCTAGTCTGGACTCCCGAAGCAGAGGGAGCTTTTAAGAGACTGAAACACGAACTCATAAAAGCTCCAACCTTGGACCTGCCCGATGTAACAAAACCATTTTAGCTGTTCTCTCATGAATGGCAAGGAATGGCTTTAGGAGTCTTGGCACAACAGTTGGGACCACACAAAAGAGCCGTGGCTTATTTCTCCAAACAGTTGGATGAAGTAAGCAAAGGATGGCCCAGCTGTCTGAAAGCGGTGGCCGCAGTGATCATAAACATAGAAGAGACCAGAAAACTTACGATGGGCCAGAAAATGACTGTGTTAGTGTCCCACACTGTGTCCGCTGTACTAGAACAAAAAGGGGGCCATTGGTTGTTGCCTTCCAGATTCCTAAAGTACCAAGCAATCCTAGCTGAGTCAGATGATATAACCATTCAAGTCACTAACATTGTGAATCCAGCCTCATTTCTAGAAGGAGGAATGTCAGCAGAATCAATCGAACACGACTGCCTAGAGACCATCGAAGTTGTCTACTCCAGCCACCCAGACCTCAAAGAAGAGCCGCTTGAAAATACAGACAACTTGTTCTCTGACGGTAGCAGCTTCGTGAAACAAAGAGTAAGGATGGCAAGCTATGCAGTGACCACAACGGAAGAGGTAATCCAATCAAATCTTTTACCGGCAGGGACTTCAGCCCAGAAGGCAGAACTGATAGCTCTTACCTGAACTCTGGAATTGGCAGAAGGCATACGAATTAATATTTGGACAGATTCAAAATATGCCTTCTCCTTCATGCACGCTCATGGAGCAATTTGGAAAGAAAGAGGACTGCTAACTGCTCAAGGGAAAACAGTCAAACATGCAGAGGAAATTCTACAATTGTTAGAAGTAGTCCAACTCCCAACACAAGTGGTCATAATGCATTGCAAGGGACACCGGAAAGGTAACACTGTTCCAGAAATAGGAAATAGGAAAGCTGATGCAGAAGCTAAATTAGCTGCTGCAAGGACCGAAGAAGTGACTATAACAGCTTTAGTACCAGGAGAGCTAGATCCTAACTTTCAACCAGATTATCAGGAATCAGATCATAGGTGGATTCAAAAGAACAAAAGCAAATTGCTGGATAATGGATGGGGTCAATTGGAAACAGGACAACTAATAATACCAGGGAAATTAATGTGGTAATTTGTAAAAACAGAACATGAGAAGGCACATTAGAGTTTAGATCCACTTTATCAGTATTTGCAAACTAGAATAGCAGGACCAAAATTATTCACTACCATAAAACAGGTTACATCCCAGTGCAAACGATGCCTGAAGAATAACCCAAACACAGGGACCAAGATACACCAAGGGGCAATAAATTGAGGTAAATTCCCAGGTGAAGTATGGCAAATTGATTTCTCTGAACTCCCAAGAAAAGGGGGGTATTGGTAATTATTGGTGCTAACTGATACATTTTCTGGGTGGCCTGAAGCGTTCCCCTGCAGGACAAACAAAGAGAAGTAACTAAAGTCTTACTAAATGAAATTATACCATAGTTTGGGGTACCAAGAAGTATTTCTTCAGACAGAGGTTCACATTTTTGTGCGAAGGTTGTGAGAACAATAAGCAAAGCATTGCAGATTAAATGGCAATTGCATACGCCCTACAGGCCACAAGCCAGTGGGCAAGTAGAAAAGATGAATCATCTTGTCAAACAACAAATTGCTAAAATATGCCAAGAAACTAACTTCCAATGGTATCAAGCTTTGCCTATTGCTCTGATTAGATTGAGAATCAAACCTCGATCAAAAGAAAAGTTGAGCTCGTTTGAAATTCTGTATGGTAGACCTTATACTATGCAAATTGTGAATAGCGATGCTATAGACCAAATAGGTAATCAATATATATATGATTATGTAATTGCTGTAGGGAAACATTTTGATAAAAACGCCATGGTAGTAATAGAACACCAGCCCAAACAACCTAACTGTAAACTGCATCCGTTTAACCCCGGTGATTAGGTGTATGTTAAGAATCTTTTAGGAAAACCCCTACAAGACAAGTGGGAGGAACCTTTCCAAGTGCTGCTGACCACCTTCACCACAGTGAGGATCAAGGAGCGACCTACATGGATTCACTATTCTCGAGTCAAGAGAGCTCTGGAAGATAAGCAAGAAGACCCAACATCATGAATCCGACTCCCTTCCAAACCCTTTCAACACTGACCATTGAACTCTTGATAAGTATTGTTTTATCCCAAAACCCTACTCCAGAAGGGTTGTAGTCTAGTGCACGCACACTACCACGCTCTGAGGAAAACCCAGATTTTGAAGTTTACGTTTTACATAATAATCAACCTTATACGATAGATGAATGGGATAGCAGAACCCATTTCATAGCACAAAAGAGAGACCAAATTCAAGTAGGGTGCCGAGAGGTCGAGGCTTTAATGGGAAAAACAGATAAACTAGTATTGACAATTGAATTTTGGCAAGAAGCCTCTAGACAGAATTTAATCACTTATAGCCAAGTAAGAGATGAGGAGCCCATTGTTTAGGTTCAATGGAAAGGACCAGTCTCATGTCAATGAGATGGTATTGAAGGAGGTGGAGCACAGTGTGAAATTATATTCAAGCTAGATCAATCGATATCGTTTTCATGTAGCAGGGAAGCCAAGATTCTTGAACCCATTGGTGAACAAGGCATTGTAACCGGTAGAACCTTTAAGCGAGTCATTAGACTAGCAACAGACTCAATCGTGAGCCCGTCTCGTGAAACCACTCCACCTTTAGAATGTAAAAAGATACATAATTTAACCTTTATAGGGCCTCAAGTAATAAGACAATCGAACGAACTAAAGCTGCTGTTAGATCCTACATATTCTCTGAACAAAGTACAGATAAACATTCAGACAGACATTACACATTTACAGAAAGATTGTCAACCGTTTATACAGCAAAGCCTCAAAGGCTGGAATGCCTGGTTAACAACTAGGTCATACCGCAAACGAACACAAAGAGATATAAGTGGATGGGTTGGCACGCGGTTTGGCATATTAAACACTATAGACCAAGAAGTATTAGTGAATAAGTTAAGTACCGTCACTTCTAATTTGAGAAAGCTTTAAGCTCATCTATGCTAACTTTAGCAGAGACACAATCATTGGTGGTCAGATTGATGACCTTAGTAGCCAACCACACTGCTGAAGATTTTGTTAAAATTGCTGGAGATATTAGCAAAGAAATTGCACTTGCTATCCAGTGTGTTCAGACACAACAATGGATACAATCAGTAGCAGCAGGAATATTAAGAGAGGGAATGTCAGGCTTACTGCCTCAAGAAATAAGAGAAACAATACTAAGAGATAGCTCCACTACACGATTTGAAAAAGACCACCAGGCTTAGTGGCAACTAGTTAACTTTACTTATGATCCACAACAGGAACACATTGAAACCTATGTCCTTACTATTAGTGCCGCAGAAGAAAGAGCTATATTTCCTGTTTTAACATTAGGAGCTATGCATCAGAATGTCATTGTCAAACCTGTGGACCATAACGTTTGGGCAAACTATGACAGTACTAGGAACAAGTGGCAATCAATTAGTACAGAAGCATGTATCCCTAAAGGGCAATTAGGTTATATTTGTGAAAATACCATTATAGAAGCTGAAGATTTATACTCAGATGCTGAGGACAGTGTATGTACTTATGAAATGCTTCCACACAATAGAGCCCGATTACAAGTATTCTATATAGAGAATGGATGCGCTTGCATTAGAACCGCTTGTAATGATGTTACTATAGATAATTGTCATGAAGTGACTAACGATACTAACTTTTGCATATACAACTTCACAAAAGTCATAGGTTGTGACTTTAACTACACTGCTCCCATAACTACACAGCAGTTAATCGAAACTAAGTATACTTTATATCATGAGATACCCAAGCTAAAGATAGGTATAGATACTAAACTTCTCAAAGAAATGATCATACATCCTGAAGTGGAGAAGCTAGTTCAAAAAGTGAACCAAACAACTCAACGCATGTTGTGGCAGGTAGAGCATAATTCAAAAGTATAAAAATATCCTGACAAAAGTCGCACAAGTAGGTCAACATCACTGGTGGGATATCTTCACAGGATACTCCCCAACAGCAACACAAGTCTTTCACTACCTGATACACCCAGTGCTAATTATAACCATGGCTATGCTCCTGTTAACTCTTATGAATATATGCCTGTAGTGTAAGTTAAAGTCCATAGTCAAAAGAACCCAAATAATCTGGGCGATGGTAAAAGCGTATCAGCGCCCTTTAGGATTAGAACTTGACGAAAGAATTCGTAAGTTTTAGAAAAGGGGGGAATGAAGCCAGGTAACACCTGAGAAGTGAATTTAGTAAAGCAATGTAAGGATTAGAGAGAGTTAAGCACAAATGCAGGCTTCCAGCAAAGCACATAGAGCTCAGTATTAGGAAACAGTGGAGGCAATAAATCCACTAGGATACAGGACACTTTGACATGAGGGAACATGGGCATGAACAGAGAGAACTAGAAATGCTAGCACACACAAAAAAGGACATATGGAAGAAAACAAAGGGAGATAAGAAAAGGGACAAGCCAAGAAATCAGGAACTTCTGCCAGACACTGGAAATCCCTGCCAAATGCACAAGGAAACTACCCAAATTAGGGAAGGTTCAAAAGTTTATCAGGAGGATGATGGTGAGGACAGCAGGTTCATGATGAAGGAAGAACGGAACTACCACCAAAGTGCTCCCCAAATTAAAGACCACACCTCTAACTCCGCCTCAACTCCGCCTGTTATGAATATTAAAAGTAGATGTTGCAATGTAATGAATATTCATAATATGTGATGTAATTGCTTGGCAAAAAGTGTATAAAAAGCTCAAATTGTAAGTTTCTCGTTGGAGTAGGCTGTCCAGGGCGACCTGGCTGCTCCCCGGCCGCTCCCCGGCCGTAAATAAATACCTCCTGCTTATAGACTGAAAATTCTGTCTCTGAGCAGTTCTTCCGCGCCTTTTTTGGGGGCACAAATTGGCATCAGGGAGGAGATGGAGGGGGGCTTCAGGTAGGCAAACATGACAGTGCTGATAAACAAAGAGACCACGGCCAGGTGAGGGAGGCACGTGGAAAAGGCTTTGTGCCGTCCCTGCTGAGAGGGGATCCTCAGCACAGCCCTGAAGATCTGCACATAGGAGAACACAATGAAAACAGAACACCCAAATGCTGAACAGACACTAGCCACAATGAGCCCAAGTTCCCTGAGGTAACCTGAGTGGGAGCAGGAGAGCTTGAGGATGTGTGGGATTTCACAGAAGAACTGGCCCAGGGCATTGCCCTGGCCCAGGGGCAGGGAAAATGTATTGGCTGTGTGCAGCAGAGCATCGAGAAAGCCAGTGGCCCAGGCAGCTGCTGCCATGTGGGCACAAGCTCTGCTGCCCAGGAGGGTCCCGTAGTGCAGGGGTTTGCAGATGGCAACGTAGCGGTCGTAGCACATGATGGTGAGGAGGAAATACTCTGATGAGATGAAGAACAGAAAGAAAAAGGCCTGTGCAGCACATCCCATGTAGGAGATGGTTGTGGTGCCCCAGAGGGAATTGTGCATGGCTTTGGGGACAGTGGTGCAGATGCAGCCCAGGTCTGTGAGGGAGAGGTTGAGCAGGAAGAAGCCCATGGGGGTGTGCAGGTGGTGGTCACAGGCTACGGTGCTGAGGATGAGGCCGTTGGCCAGGAGGGCAGCCAGGGAGATGGCCAGGAAGAGCCAGAAGTGCAGGAGCTGCAGTTCCTGCCTGTCTGTGAATGCCAGGAGGAGGAACTGGGTGAGGGAGGTGCTGTTGGACATTTGCTGCCTCTGGACATGGGGACCTGTTCAAGGAGGAAAGGACAGTGACTGTGCAGGGCAGACCTCTGGGAAAAGCCAAAGCCCTTTCTCAGTGGCCCATCACTTCTCCTCAACACCTCCCCCTTGACCATGTCCAGGTGTCCTTCCTTCCCCGTGGTTGCTGGAGCCCTGATTGCTGCTGGCCAAGTGCTCTGTGAGGAGCAGGACCTCGACCTGCAGGACACTGGGCAGTCAGCCCTGCTCCCCCCAGTCAGGGCACTGGGACAGGGAGGGCAGGGTCAGTCCTGGGGAGTGAACTTTGACAAAGAATCTGCTCCTAAGGCAGAGCAGCTTGTCAGCAACAGCACTGCCAGGGTGCAGGAAGGGGGATGGCAGAAGGCAGAGGGAGAGATTCTGCTGCACTCTGGGAGAACAGAGAGGCCTGTGAGGCAGGAGGATTGTCTGAGGCCCAGTGCAGAGTGAGGGGAGCTGCTCTGTCCCTCTGTCCTGTGCCAGCTGCCCTGCACTGGCACCTTTCTGAGACACAGTTCAAAGTTACAGTCCTGTTTTCCCCTGGAGAGCAGAGGGACCCATGGCAGAGAAATTGGCTCCCCCTTTCCCAAAGTCAGGCAGAGTCGGCTCATTCCCAGCCTGCCAGAGCCCAGAGCCCCCCAGGACACAGAGAGCTGGGACACCTCCTTGCTGTGCTCAGCCCTGCACAGGAGGAGCCACAGGGGCTGGGCCTGACTCTGCAGTTCAACCTGCCATTCCCAGAGAGCCTGTCAGCAATAGCAGGAGCACCTGAGCAAGGCAAGGAGAGAGACAGCCGGGCCCTGAGGAAAGGCTTTCCCTTCCCAGCCCTGCACAGCCCCTCCCAGGCAGCCCCAGGGCAGGACAGTCCCCTCAGGGCCTGCTCAGCAGCAAATGGGCCCAGGGCAGCAGAGATGCTTCTGCTCTAACCTGCACAGCTGAGAATCCATTCCCACCAAGCTGAGCCAGGCAAATGTGCAAGCACAGATTCAGGAAAGCAGAGACTCAAGCACAAAAGCCCTGCCCCTGATGTGCTCAGGAAATGTCCCCTCTGAAATTACCTGGCCACAGACTGGAGCTGTGAGAAGCCCTGATGCATCATGTAAAACACTCTCCAAAGCAGCAGGACCCTGCTCCACCACACCTTCCCCCTTCCACACACAACTTCTCCCCACAGCACCATCCGTAGCTCCCTGGGCAGGCTGAGGGTTGATCCTGCAGGCAAAGAGTTCCTTCCCCGCAACACAGAGCCCTGGGGGCAGGACCCTGCTCTGCAGGACAGCCCTGGGCACCCCTGGCTGCACCCTCCCTTCACACCCTGCAGCTGTCCCTGGAAGGAGCCGTCCTGCCCTGTCCCTCTGATGGTGCCACAGGGAAGCCCTGCCCTGGAGCTCCTCCTGCTCCTCTGCAACAGAGAAATTGTGGGAGTCCTCCTAAAAGATCCTTCAGGCTGTGGGATGTCCCAGCTTTGGGAGATTCCTCCAGGCACACAAGCAACACTGTCCTCCCTGCATAGACTTACCATGGAGAGGCTGTGAAAACCTCTCCCACACTGAAGGTTCAGCTCAATGTCTTTCCAATCCTGATTCCCTTGAACCTTTTCCTGCCTCACTCTCCCCCTCAGTGCCTGCTGGTAGTGCCCTCAGCCCTGCTGGGCTGTGCAGAGGAGCTGCTCCTGGGCAGAGCTGTCACTTTGAAGCTCTTCTTCCTTGCCAGGAGCTCCCTGTGTGCCAGGAGCCCGACCCAGCTCAGCAGCACAGCAACAGCCCCAGGCATTTCATGACCCTCTGGGGGGTTTGATGTTGTTTACATGAGACTCAGTCCCTGAGAGGAAGTTCAAACAACTTTTCAAGAAGTCAAAGTGAGATGGAAACACGAAAGTTTCTTGTAGTGCTAATGAGTCTCACTGAGGGACACAACTGAGAACTTCTCTCCAGGTTCCAGTTAGAGCAGAAAACTGCAGACAGTGATGCCAAGGATGGACAAGCAAGGGAAAGGTGGCTCTGATGCTGAGGAAACTTGGACGTGTTTCATTAATCCAACAGGCCAAGCCCTGACCCCCATCCCCTGGGAAGGCAGATCCTGTCCCTGCCTCATTCCTCAGGGCTCTTCCTGGGGCACTGGGATGTGGGATGTGCAATGCCAAGGGCAGGCCCATGGGGTGGCACCTGCCAGGCTGCTGAGCAGGGACAAGGAGGCCATGAGGCCCCAGGGCTGCAAGGGGCACTCCCCTCCTCCTGGCCTCAGGGGCACAGACAGCAGCCATGGCCAAAGGCCTGCAGAAGGTGGCTCTGGCAGGGCCTTTCAGCTTCTCCCCCTCCCTGTCTCCTCTCCAGCCCAGGCTGTCCTACGGTGTCCATGCCCTGCCCCTTTCCCTGCAGGCTGTCATCATCCCCCCGGCTGCCCCACCTGGCTGGCACCTTCCTGCACTGACATCTCTGCGTCCTCCCTGGCTCTTCCTGGGCACACAAAGCCTTGGGCTCATCCAGACTCCTCCTGGGTGACGTGTTGCAGCGTTTTCCATGGAGTGAAATTCCTTTTTCCTCATGTCCACTCGGGACCTCCCCAGCTGCACTTGGCATTAATTCTTTCTTTCTCATGCTCTTTTCTGCTATGACAAAAGGATCCTCTAAATCCTCCCTTCAAGCCCTCTGAGGGTTGTCCTGTACTGTCCTCAGTCTCCACACCAGTGAGGTCACAGCTCCTCAGCCCCTCTCTAGGGGGGGCTTGAGACCTTTGAAGCCCATCTTGGGAGATCTCTGGGCACTCACAGATGTTTTTGCAGATGAAAATGTCGTGCTCATAGTCTAAGGAAATCACAGGGATACTTTTTACCAAGGCCTGTAGTGCAGAACATGGGGCAGTGGCTTTGAACTGAAAGAGAAGAGTTTTCTATTGGATAATAGGAGGAAAGATTTAACAATCAGAGTGGCAAGAACTGGAGGAGGTTTCCAGAGAAGTGGATGTCCCATCCCTGCATTTGTCCAAAGTCAAGGACTGTGAGTAACCTCAATTAATAAAAGATGTCACTGTCTACGTCCAGGGACTTGGACCAGATGACCTTTTAGCTCTCTTGCAAGCCAAATCATTCTGAGATTCTTTTGAGTCTAAAGTCCCAAACCCCTTCTCCAAAGAATTTCCATGTTGAGGACATTAATTGCCATGTTTATGGAGAAACCCTTCTAAGCCCAAAAGGTAAAGAATCAATTCCAAGGAAGTTCCAAGGTATCTGTATGAAACTTTAAGCAAGTAGGTCAATGGCAGAACCTCTCAGACTGACCTTGTAGCTGAGGATGGGGGATTCGACCTCGGGCTCTGAGACTTATGATGGGCAGCCAGAAAGGGGATTTGGGGACTGGGCAAGACTTGTCATGGGATGTCTAGCAAAGAACCAAAGCAAGGTGTGCTGGTTTAAGAGTTAACCAGCAGGGGAAATGAACTCAACTCAAAGGAGAGATTATAAGTCAGAATAACAATTTACTAAAATAATACAGTACGTACAATCATACAAACAAACAATTGGTCTTAACCCACAAAACCCAAATGTATAACCCAGTACCCTGGGGCATGAACAACGTGGTGTTCCTTGGGCCCCGCTTGAGTCCAAAGTAAAGGGAGAGGGGAAGAACCTGCTGGTGGGAGAGCTGTTGCAGTCTGGTCAAAAGTGGTGATTGGAGTCCAGTATAGGGTGATGGTCCAAGTCTGTTTGAGAGCGATGAGCCGCAGTCCTTCTCTGGATCCCACAGAGTGGTTCCAAATGTTCCAAGACTCCAAGATTATATATCCTGCAGTTCAGGCAGGAATGCTCAGCACTTCCCTCAGGGCGGGGAGTTCCACAAAGGGTGTGAGGACAGGAGCATCCTCCTATCTCACAGGCCTCTTAACACCTAGTTTATAGCCTGAGGAGGCAGGCTCTATGGGCAGATGGTGTAAATGGTTCATTGATAACAGTTTCTGGGAAATGGCATGGAAGGCTATAGAATACACAGTTTTGGGTTACACCCATACCCTGATGAACTGGTCTCAGTTGTCCTAACTAGGACACAAGGGTAGGATCACCATGGTTTCTGGAGGAACAAGCATGAGAAAAGAGAGAGCAAAGAGGCTGAAAAAGCTGGTCATGTTAAACAGGAGGCTGGTCAAGACACATCCCTGGCTGTGCCCTGCAAGTGATCCCCACAGCCTGTCCCCTTTTCTTAAGAACTCCATTGCCAAGAAGTTTCTGTGGGGAGGGACCTCTCTGCTCCTGGCACAGATTGTGGTCCAAGTTCCAGCCCCTGCAGCAGGAGTCACAACTAGTCAGGTCTTGTGTTCTCAGGGGGGCCAGACTCTGCCCACACTGGGGGGGGTGTGTGTTGGAAGCACAAAAGAGTGAAGCAAATGCAAAGCTAAACACCCAATGTAGGCTGACTTTGTCCCTAAGTGGGGGCTGAGAATTGGACCCAACATGTGCAGGGACAGATGGAGGGGTTTGTCCCCCTGGCCCTGCCCAGAAGGGACACCTTTCAGGAAGGGTTGTGGCCTTGGCTGTGCGGAGGGTTGCCCCGGGCAATGCAGCTTGGGATTGCAGTGGCACTGTCAGGGCTCTGCAGAGCTCCTGGCAGTTCCTGCCTTTGTCCCCAGCAATGCCAGAGACCTGCAGGGGTTGCAGTCACTCACTTGTGCTCTTTGGGACCCCGCCTGGCTCTGCTGAATGTCAGCAGGCCTGGAGTTCCCAGACTGTTCCTGCATCCAGGGTCGGGCCTGCAGTGACGTTTGTGCAGCATTCAATTGGGGCAGTGGCAGGATGGCCATGGATCCATTCCTGCACAAACACAATGGGGCTCCATCCCAGGCAGGGAGAGAATGGGCCCACAAATGTTGGAAGGAGAAGAACCAGGGAGTTTTGGCACTGTGGAACCCCATGGAACCAAAGTAACCCTGGGACATGGTGGAACCTCATGGAATAAAGGGGACATTTTGACTCTGTGGAATCTGATGGAACCAAAGAG